CAGGGGTGCCTGTTCAGGAGGCGCTGGAGCCCGGGATCCATGCCTTGAAGGTTGCACCTCCGTTTGCAGAAGTGCTTGTGACAGGAGCATGAGTCTATTCCGGAACAATTTGGGAAAGGAGTTGTTTGCCAGTTTTAATTTTAGTGTAACATGTATGAAGCCAACAAAAATAAATACTGACACTCAATAGTGTCTTCTGAAAACTCCCGTACTGGCCAGGATTAGAAAAAGAAAGTCTCTGATGGAACAGGCAAAAAAAGAAGCCTAGAGTGTATTCTGGATGGAAAATCTGTTTGTATGCTATCATGATGTATAGTAAATAAATAAAAGAATGTAAATAAATAAATTTAAATAATAAAAAAAAATTTTTTAAGGGAGGGGTGCCTGATGCATTGGATTTGAGGTCAGGAATCAACTATATCATTTTCTACTTTTTAACCCTACAGTCAGCCCAAGCACACCAGAGAAGCTACAAAAACTCAGAGAAATTCTGTACCCGAAGTCCCACCAGCCCTGTGCTGGCATGATTTACTACAAACAGCTCCCCGGGCTGAGCCTTCTCAAGGACTCCAGTGAGAGCATCGGGCTTCACCTTGAGTCTCCAAAGAATGGGGGCAGGGCCGAAAAGAAACGCGGCGGCCCTCAACTTAGCTTTAAAAAGAGGAGGAGTTGTGCAGAGGGGGAGGGGAGAAGGCGGCCGGCGCCTGCAGCCTCTGCCCAGGAAAACGCGAGGCAGGAAACGTCCCCAGCCCCCCTCCCCAACTGTCAAACCCTAGCCCAGCCGCGGTCCTCCCAGGACACGTGTCTACTGGATGTCTCTCTGTCCGGTCCAGGGACTTCCTGAAACCCCCGCCTCCGACTGCCCGAAACAGCCCTGAGTCAATCAGGGGACAGAAAGCCCCGCGAGCCTGACCCTGACTGCAGCGGCTGGAGCTCTGGGATCCTGGACCCGGGTCCAGAACTTCATTCAAGCGCCCAGTCCGCCCCATAAAGAGGAAACCCAGACGGCCCGAGGAGGATGCGAACTGGCTGCAATTTTGTCACTGAAAATGGTTATGAATACCGCACAGTGGTGGAGCCCTAGGTGTGACAAGCCTGGGCTCCCAGAGGGGCAGTCGCCGCCTCCCGTGCAATTCGACCCCCACCCCGGAAAGCCCCGCACGCGGCGCCCAGCCCTCCGACACCGCTCCTGAAGGCAAAAGATAAGAGGCAGGGGTGGGAGGAGGAAAGAAAGGAAGGAGAGAGGGAAGGAACTTTGTCGGGAAAAGGCTGGGTCTGAGTTTTTTTATTGTTATTATTTTCCACTTACTTGTCCATCAGCTGAAGTCCTAACCTCTACCAGAGCAGCTGCTATCAACCAAAGTGACAGGAGAACCATCACGAGTCGAGTTCACTTTTCAACTACTGGGCAAAGCAAATGCCCAGAGCAACCCCCCCAAAATAAGTTTCTTGGAAAAAGAAAAAGAAAAAGGAAAAAAAAATGCAGAATTAAAAAAAAAAAAAAAAAGATCTTCGGTGCTTTGCTTCAATGAAAATGAAATCTGAGCTCTGAGCCTGGCCCCCCTCTGCTCTGCAGTTCTTTCCACTTCACCTTCTCACCCCGTCCTCCCAAACCGAGGGTGCAGGAGCGAGAAGGTGCTGCGAGCCGGGCACCGGCTGAGCCGGGAGGGGGGAAGGACGAGGGGCTTCCAACTATCTCTGCCCAAAGCGGCTTTTGCAAGGCTTTTCGAGCACTATTGGTCCCTAAGGTTAGAGCGGAGAACGCTTGGGTCCCCCGGAGCACAGCAGGGGGAAGTATTGGCGAGGGCGCCGAGCGAGCGGGAGAAAGAGGCACGGCGAGGGCGACTCCGCCGCGCACGCAGAGGTGGGGGCGGGAGGAGCGAGGAGGAGGAGGCAACCGAGGAGGTGGGAGGAGTGGGCCGCTCGCTGGCTCCTGTTGCTCGCGGAGAGCCGTCTGCGCTCTGCCCGCGACCCGCCGGGCGCTAT